AACATACAGCACCCTGTTGTGGTGTTTATGTTTATTTTTGAGTAACATTTCCTTAATGCAGACAGAAAAATCTGACACAAAGGCTGTACTGGCTATGTTTAAAAAAAAAAGGTTTATAATTTAATTAATCTATTTGAAATCCTGTACTGATGGTCGCGGACATGACAAGTGGGTTGCAGAGTGGGTCCCAGGGTGACACCAGTGGAGAAACACTGATCTAGTGTACATAGAAAGAGCACACAATCTGAAACGGAGGAGTGGTACAATCCACAAGGTTCAGAGAATGACAACAACATCAGCTGTAGTTTCACTGAAACACATTTTAGAACTAAATGCTGAAGTGTTTCATGAAGGGAGCATTATTATGTGCATTATTTTTGTTCATACCTCTATTTAACCTGGCAGCATGACAGTTCAATATGCACAACTGAGTAATATTATGATAGATAAGTGTAGCGTTTGAAGTAATGCATTTCAGGTATAGAAGTCACCGAATATAACTTTTGCAACTCTCGCTGGAAAGCTGGAATTTCCGAGTGCCCGTGAATGCAACCATGATACTGGGATTTCCGAGTGTCCCTAAATGCAGCCATTACACAGCTGAAGTGCATTAGCGTGAGTTGTTCGTCCGTCTTCTGTGTTTTTGGGTAAGTGCACTTACTGTAGTTTTTTTTTACGATAAAAATTCAACTTAGGTGGTTTAAAAGATATACAACCGGCTTCTTGCTTATATGTAACTGATGCCATGACAGTATGAAGGCAAAGACGGCACTAATGTGGTGAGCTAATTAACGAGCTAACTATTAGCTCGTTAGCAATGTTGTTAATGTCAACCGCTAAGCTAATGGTAGCATGTTAACTGAAGGTTTAATGGATAAACATAATGTAGCACTAAATGTGACTTTACAGAGTAATTCACATGGCAGCATATGTGGCAAATGGGAGTTGAAACTGGGAGTTGAGACAGCCAACTTATTGCTTTTTCCCCACAATGTCATTGCTGCCAACTACAGCAAAAGCCAGACTCCTGCATAAGGTAAGGAGGTAATGTGCATGCAGGCCATGATTAACAGCTGCTACTCGAAAATGTCTGACTCCTACAGTGTCATAACTACTCTTGTGTTCTTATGATAGCTCTTGCTAATTGACAGTTACAAGAAAAAAATATTTACAGCCAAACTGGTACTGAGAGGGAGCAGAATTTTGCTAACTATATATTTAGCTTATTTTCCTGTTTTGTTTTTGAATACTGGCTAGTTTTAGGGTAACTGCAGTGACTCATTGCATATTTACACATGTACAGCAGAAATTAAAATATTGTTTCCTCTCAGACACAGAATGTTGATCCTGCCCTGTGCTTTACTTCATAAGTATAGAAGTACTCATGCTGAATATAAAATAAGACTGCATAACATGAATATGTACACTCACTGGCCACTTTATTAGGTACAGCTGTACAATTGTATGCACTTCAGTACAACACTTCTGCCTTAACATCTGTGTTTATGAAGCTCAAAATGTTAAAGGTGCTGTTGTACTGAACCTAATTATATTCAGAGGTGATCGTAATATTCTGACCTTCTCATGTATGTCAATGGGCAGGACAAAAATATACAGACACCTCTGAATACAATATAGTCCAGTACAACACCACCTTTAACTATGACCTCAATAATGAACATATAATAGAATTTATGCATTTAGGAGATTCTCACCAAAAACTGAAACATTTTGAGTTTCATAAACACAAATGTTAAAGCAGAAGTGTGGCATTGAAGTGAATACAGATGTACAGGTTGTCAGGTTTGCTCTATGCCACCTGCCTCTCTCCCCTATTGCCACCTCCAGCTCCCCATCTGTGGACCCCTCGAGCTCTGCCTCCTCTGGCGGACATTTCCAGCATATTGACTGTTATCTCCATAGCTTGCCAAATTCCTCGTGTCTGACACACCTGGCCAATAAACTAGATTCTGATTCTGATATGTGATCTTAGGCAGAAAGAGCATGTACAGGTTGAATAGCAGTGGTCCAGGAATCAAGGTGCAAAGGTTAGTGGCCCAGATGAGCATTGTAGAAGCCATGGTGAGGCAGAGCTGTGAGGTCAAGGTGTCTGAGAATGCTCAGCCACAGCTCAGAGAGGCCACCCTGAGCCTAGCGGAAGCCCAATCTATCCAGCGAAAGCTCAAGGATCAAATGGAGCACCCCCTTTACCCTCATTACTCTGTCTATAAGGACAGGGCTGCATCCAAGACGCAGTTGGCCAACCCTGCCATCTGTCTCAGAGTAGTGACCTTGTCACCTGAGCCTGAGCTGAACCAAGATTCCCCTGTTCTCGACCCTGAGAGTTCACCATTTTGGGGAACCCATATTGTTGTGTGTCCTGAGGAGTTAGGGAAGAGGAGAACCCAGAGGAAAGGTGGCCCTCAGATAACCTCTTCTCACCAGCCTGCTCCAGAGCTGCAGCACCTGACTGTTCACAAATTGCAGCACCAGCCAGCTCCAAAGCTGCAGCCTCAGCCAGTTCCAGAACTGCAGTTCCAGCCTATTCCTGAATTGCACTCTATCTCCAGGAGGAGAGGCCAGAGATGGTGGTGGCAAGCAAACCCAGGTCCCCAGTACACTGGGGTTAAAGTCCCATCTGGTTCAGCTGTTCCCCAGTGTGCCAACGAGAGCATCCCCCTGAAGCTCCCATTCTTTGTGTGCCTATGAAATGTCCCCACCAAGGTTTCAGCTCTCCAGTGTGGCGACGAGGAGGCTGACACCACCACTGAACTTGTTCCTGAGTAGGTCAAAGCTGCCTCCACTCCAGTTCCTGTACAGCTCGACACCACCATTGTCCCTGTTCCTGAGTGGGTTGACACCACCTCTGGTCCTGTCCCCAAGTGGGTCAATGTCTCAGCCATCCCAATTCCTGCATCATGGCGAGTCAACAATGATGCCACTCCTCCTGTCCCTGTAACTCAGTGGGTTGATGACAATGCTACAATTCTTGTACCTGACTCCAGGTGAGTTGTCAGTGACTCCATCTCTTCCCTCATGTCCTGGTGGGTCATCATCACTGCCACCACTCCAGCCCCGGTGCCTCAGTGGGTCATAAGCAAACCCACCTCTACCCTTGAGTCTCAGTGGGTCATTGGTATCACCACCACTCCAGCTCGAGTGGTGAACCAACACACGCTGTACTTTAGCACAGTGAATTTTTAGTGAAAATTATTTAAACAGTATACCATATAACAATAAACAAAATTAAATGGGCCCCTTTTTTAGAAAAATAAATGGTCCTTTAAATGGATGGAGTTAAAGTTCAGGTTCCCCTTTTTGGGAATGCTACTTGTGGCTCCTCAGTGTTCAAGTCAGTCCCAAGCTCAGTAAGTCAATTAGTCCAAAAGTCAGTATCTCTGGATCCAAGTTCAGTTGGTATCAGTCGGAATGACTGACACAATCCTACCACATACACAGATGGATGATTTGTCGCTTTGATGATTGGATACCATGGAATTACACTGGGTGGCTTGCCATCACACAAGGTTCAATCGTCAAACGGCTGCTGATAATCTTCCATACTCCGTTCACGCCAGGGAAATCAAAAAGACTTGACCTGTATTTACAACAGGGTTTTCTTTTCTTAAGTCAAGTCATATCATATATATCATTCATTTAGTTCAAAATATTGTAAACATTTTATACATTCATCATGTATGAACTTATCTTCTTTAAGTAATCAATTCCAATATTGTGCGTCCACAATCAATAACTATATATTGTGAAAATATACAGGCAGTTTTAACAATGAAGGATCCTTTTAACTTGTGCTCTTCTTTTTTTTTACCACTGCATATTATATTACCATGAATTATACACTTCTGCTATCAACTAACACATACATGAACACATATCACACATAAATTAACAAACATAAACCATACTCTTACTACCTGCTGCTAGCATATCATTAGCGTAGCATGCTAACATTAATTGGTACTATGAAATAGCTTACCAAGGGTTCCGTTTTTCAACACCTAAAGTTTTGCTCCTTCAGGTCATCTGACTTTAAGCACGAGCTCCCTCGAACTTAAAATGAGTTTTCACTCTTTTTTTCCTATTTTAAGAAGTTCTTAGGGACTTTTTTCTTCTTTGTTTAGCTGTACACTACGTTTTATCACATCACGTTTTTCATACGATGTCAAGACTTCCTCTCCCTGTAATTACCAAATTAAACTTCCAGTTTTCAAAATAAAGCATTTGATACGTGAAACTATTAAACAGAATTGTAACACACATTGTACCCTTTTATGAGGTGGGTTACATGCATATAAGGACCCTCACTTGTCCTCTTTCCTGGTGTCCCTGGTCATGGATTTCATGTGGCTCAAGTCTGGTAAGTTTGGCACTTCCTCCCAGATCCATGTTCATTTAAAGGGATGTTTTGTAATGTTTTTCCTTATCCAAACTGAGGTTCTAAGGATAGAGGGTGTTGTACGCTTTAAAGAATGAGATCTGGCTTCTTAGATTAAACTGACCTGACTTCTTTAAACCACCAGTAACTGATGTTTTGTCACTTATGTGCAGCGCAAAGGAATTTTAAAACAACACACATAGTTTACCACTTTTTAAAGTTCACAGCAAATAGATGCCTTTTATATATCCTGCAGACACAGAGATACATGCAGCTGGTTGAAGCCCGCCTCACACTTCAGGATAACTAGCCCGACTTTGGGCCTGATTTGCCATTCCCAACAATTGTGGGGGCTGCTTTGAAGTGATTCTGATCCTGTAGTGTGAGGTGTAGAGTGACCTAATCATTATGCCTCCTACAGCTTGTACTGTAAAATGTGTAAGTGTCAGGTTTGCTTGGCTGCACCTGCCTCTCTCACCTCCCTGTCTCCGTTTTTCGGTCCCTGATCACGTCACCTTGCACACCTGCCACTCATTTTCCCAATTGACACCAGTCCTTCACCTTATTTATACCCAATTCACTTTCCACTCCCTTACCAGTTCATCATGTTTTCAGGCTGACAACCAGCGCCATTCTCCTGCTCCTTCTCATACTCTTGTTAACATTGGTTTTTGTTCTTTCAGTCTGTTTACCCTGCCTTGTTCCTTGACCATCCTCCACGGACTGTTCTCCTCCAGACTATTACTCCACTCCACCCTTCCACAGTCATCAGATCCTATCTACCACCCACCGGCCAGACCGGGAGTGACCCTAGCGTCTGTAGCTCAGCCTATCTCATCATTTCCATCTGTCATCTGTTATTCTCTGCTAGCTGATCAGAACCCGGTCCTACATTTCCTAGTTGTTTCCTTATCATGTCTCTTATATATATTGTACAGCACAAAATAAATTCTGCTTGCACTGAAGTCAGCCATCTGGGTCTGTTCATTTCTTCATTCACTCACCCAATGAGTGAGCGACTCTAACAGTAAGCCATGTTGATTTCTTCTTCTCAGCCAACACTTAATCCACAATATTTTTCTCCTTTTTGTTTCACTGTGAAAAAACATAAGACATGTGATCTCTACTGCTTGGTAACAACTTCCCTCCTCCATGTTTGTCTTGTTCTGAAGTTGGGTTTGATCACAAGAGTTTCTGAGACCCCTGGTCCCAGGAATCAGTATTGTTCAGTAAAAACAGCAAGTGTGTGGTCCTGCCAATCATCTAGTGTGTGCTCTTAAGATTAAAATGTGAAAAATCTATTAAATCCATTGTTATGTCTGTGGTCTCAGGTTTTTAAAATCAGTTAAAATGATAAAATCCTCTAGTGTGGGCCAGCCTGACGACAGTCAACAAAAAACAGTAAATAAAAGAATGAGTTAAAAGACAGTGAAGTGGAGTGTGGCACTAAAGGGAACTGCAGCATCAGGGCACAATTCTTTTTGGATTTGTGACTAGGAGCGAGCCCCTCTCATATTACACATTACAGCACATTCTTATGAAAAAGACATTAATTGATTAAATATTTGCCTCTGAACAAACAAATACTAGAGGTCATGACAGACACCATCAGAACTCAGGAAAAAAGTAATTACTGAGCAATGATTACATCACATGCTGGTGTGTGGGGGCTGCATCATGTGTTTAACTTTGTTTTCCTTGACATGTCTGATTGCAGCGACATCTCAGAGGCTACCATGTCTATCTGATGGTTGGATAATAATCTAAATATAAATAGTAGCTGGTGCATAGTGACCCCAACAGGCTGTAGGATTCTTTAGGCTATGACAGGTAATATTGTTAACCTGAAGCAGCAAAGTTTTATTTGTAATGTTAGGTTATTTCCTAGTTAGATAGATATTCAGAGATTTGTTGTCTAGAAATGTTTAGTGCAGACAGATTGACTAGCTCAGGCTGTTAACTGTTCAGTAATGTGCCTGCAGTGCAGACTGCAGGCAGGTCAAGGTTACAGGCAAAGAGCTGTTAGTGTCAACTGTAATGCTAGTCCCCCTTGTAGCATGGGCTAGCCCAAAAATGATTAATATTATATAGGTTGTTGGGTCCAGAGGGGCTCAGCTTTCTGCTGCCTGCGCGCAGGTAGAGGGGTGAGAGAGCTCTGGACGTGTCCTGTGAATTTTACCTGTGATCCTCTGAATAAACCAGCACGGTTATTTTTTATAAAATCTAAAGCAGTCTCTTTCGTCTCATTGAGAGTTCCTGGTTTGAAAGAACCGGAAGAAGCTACAGAGAAATAATAGCTTATAATTGGTGCTGTTTTTGACCCGGGAACCAGGCCGAACTCTGCAGGAGACGAGACCAACAGCTTTGGATCCAGTGAGGGTCGATTGGAACCGAACTCGGCTGAAAAAAATCGACATTCAGCATAGAATTTGACACCTTGGTTGGAGACGCTGCACGTGCCACACATCAATTGTGGGCAGAAACGAGAGGTAAGCGGAACCCCTTATACATGAAAATCCGCAAAATTGAATTTATACTAAAATTAACGTTGATGTGTGGTCCGGCAGTCTCCGACGTTCCAAATTGGATCCAAAAATAGTAAGGTTAAATGAAAAAAACACATATTACTCTCTGTGTTTGATTACTGGTCTGGTTTTTTCATGACACATGTACAGTTCACTGAAGCACGACATACATTGTCCCATTGTGTGAGGGAAAGTGAATGAGCACCGTGGAGTACAGAATTGGACACCAATAAAGGCACGTAAAACTCGCATTTAGTAGGCAAGTTCCTGATAATTCACATCATTTGCCTCTAATATTTCCCCAGTTCTTTTTCATTTTGCTCCCCCTGAAAATACCAGGCGAGTGAGACCTCTCGCCTGAAATATACGATCTTTGATAAATCCCACACTACTGTTACTCGGCGTAGGGACAGAAATTTATATGTAATGTGGGGTGGGTAACTGTACAACAGGCTAATTAAAACGTTTTTCCACAAGTGTAACACTGTAGGCAACAGGTTTATATGTGAGAATTCATTGTGGAAGTAAACATGCCTTGTACAGATGTGTATTACTGGGGCTGGGCATAGATTACTGGGAAAAGTGTATTAGTGTAGGGTGACTGGTTGTCGAATTGAGATAAAATAAGTGGAATTGAAGGGAATTAACCCCCAGTAATTGTCCGCAGGATAACGTATATCCTGTAGAAGCTTGACAATCATTCGATTCCATTCAGGCCAAAGAGAGCCTCTCTTTCACGACAAAAGTCACGTGTGGCATTTTATTTTTTCATGATGGCTGACTGTGATGTTATTCAGGTTTGGAAAGACTGTAAAGCAGGCACACTAGGTGCCATCTTGTACAAATTGTTAAACAAATGGCTTGGCACATTGCCTCCAAGCCGACAAGCAACGGAAAAAATTAATTTTGTCCACTGGACTGGTCAAATGTGTGACCATGGTTTTTTGGCGCCTATGACGGAGCTCCCCCAGCAGAGGGAGCTGTAGGACTGTTGATTAAACACGCTAGTGTAAAGACTAACAAAGCACGTCTTGCTCACAACTCAGCT